CTCCATTCCCACCCCATTCCAGGGGAAGGATACTGCAAAATCCCCATTCCCTCGCCACTCCTGGGGGAAGGACATAGCAAAATCTACATTCCCACACCACTCTGAGGCTAGCCAGAGGTAGTATTTACCGGTTCTCCGAACTACACAAAATTTCCGCTACTGGTTTTCCGAACTGCTCAAAATTTCTGGTACCGGTTCTCCGAACTGCTCAAAATTTCCGCTATTGGTTCTCCAAACTGCTCAAATTTCCACTACTGGTTCTCCAAATTGCTGAAAATTTCCACTACCAGTTCTCCGAACTGCTCAAAATTTCTGCTACCGGTTCTCCGAACTGCTCAAAATTTCCACTACTGGTTCTCCAAACTGCTCTAAATTTCTGGTACCGGTTCTCCAAACTGCTCAAAATTTCCACTACCAGTTCCCACACATTCCCACACCACTCTGAGGCTAGCCAGAGGTGGTATTTACCGGTTCTCCGAACTACACAAAATTTCCGCTACCGGTTTTCCGAACTGCTCAAAATTTCTGGTACCGGTTCTCCAAACTGCTCAAAATTTCCACTACCAGTTCTCCGAACTGCTCAAAATTTCTGCTACTGGTTCTCCGAACTGCTCAAAATTTCCACTACCGGTTCTCCGAACTGCTCAAAATTTCCGCTACCGGTTCTCCGAACTACTCAAAATTTCCACTACTGGTTCTCCAAACTGCTCAAAATTTCCACTACCGGTTCTCTGAACTGCTCAAAATTTCCGCTACCGGTTCTCCGAACTGCTCAAAATTTCCGCTACTGGTTCTCCGAACTGCTCAAAATTTCTGCTACCGGTTCTCCGACTGCTCAAAATTTCTGCTACTGGTTCTCCGAACTGCTCAAAATTTCTGCTACCGGTTCTCCGAACTGCTCAAAATTTCTGCTACCGGTTCTCCGAACTCCTCAAAATTTCCTCTACCAGTTCTCCGAACTGCTCAAAATTTCCACTACTGGTTCTCTGAACTCCTCAAAATTTCCGCTACCGGTTCTGTGAACTGCTCAAAATTTCTGCTACCGGTTTTCCGAACTACTCAAAATTTCCACTACTGGTTCTCCAAACTGCTCAAAATTTCTGCTACCGGTTCTGCGAACTGCTCAAAATTTCTGCTACCGGTTTTCCGAACTACTCAAAATTTCCACTACTGGTTCTCCAAACTGCTCAAAATTTCTGCTACCGGTTCTCCGAACTGCTCAAAATTTCCGCTACCGGTTCTCCAGAACCTGCTGGGCAAAACTCTCTGAACTGATGCAATGGAAGAAAACTATGAGAACATTATGGTACATGAAGAACTTGCTTGGTTGTTTTCTCCTTCTTCTGCCTTGAAACTCTGCCCGCTGACAGATTGCATCAACTCTTCACTGACACCACTGACCTTCTGGCAAGTTGAAGAAATGTCAATTTGTCATGATAGGCCTGTCACCAAAACAATTCTGAACTGGTGACATGGAAGGGTTTGTATGCTTTCTACTCACTCTCTGAGCAAATGGAAATATGTTATGATTCTGAAGCATGCTGGTTTCAAAATGACTATCCAATGACCTGGCTTCTGGGACCCATGAGCAACTGATGTGCTTTTAAATAGTCCAAAACATTTCTGGTTTTAGAAATAGAAGGATAAAGTTGAGCATTGGAAAGCTTATTTCATATTTCTGGATTTTTAACGTGGGATTAAAATGGTTAACGTAGGATTAACAATGGTTGACAACAAATACGCCATTGTTATTTAAGCATGTGCTTAAATCTGAAGAGCTGCAGAAAGTGACAGCATCTGGTTGACCTTATCTAGGTTCAAAAGTGGAACTTGGGTCACACTGGATGGGAGACCATCAGGAAATGCCAGGGATATAGGCTAGATTGGGAATAGAAGAAGACAACAGAAATCACTTCTGGAAAGCTACCCATGATGTCATTAGGACTCAGCCTGAAAATTTCACCCATACCTAAACATGTAAAAGATGGAGACAATATATATCAAGAAAGCTAAAAGTTCAGCTTGTTTTTCTTTCCAATAGAAGTTGGCTTTATTTATTCCGTTCTAATTTTTTCAGTGTTAGTTACTGAAAAATGTTCCACTATAGGAGTGTCATTTATTGAGACAATAAAATAAGACATATACACATACACCTAAAGAAAGTCTTAAAGAGAAAATGTATTTTAAAAAATTTAATTCAAATTTACAAAGAGAACCAGTCTGGTGTAGTGGTTAAGGTACTAGTCTAGAAACCAAGAGTTCCCTAAATTCTAGTGTTGTTTTAGGCATGAAATCTGACTGATGACTTTGGAACGGTCTCTGTCTCTCAGCCAAGCTCACCTCACAATTGTTGTGATGAGGAAAATAGGAAACAGGAGTATGTTTGCTGCCTTTGGACAAAATCACCATCAGTCATTTGCAAATGGCAGCTTTGCTTGGAATATATGCTGTGATTATATCTTTAACACCCTTAAACAAAATCTGCCTATTGACTCGATATTGCCTATCATAATAATTATAAAACAATAGAAGCAGGGACTAATCTCAAGTCAAACAAACTGCCAAAGAAGAAAATTGACTGATTATATAACAGACAGTCAAGTACAATTACTGAAGTTAAAGTTAAAAATTAGAATTTACAGAAGATTTCAGGTAACAGAACATACATATCAATATAATGTAATAAAAACACAAACAGAATGCTGGCAAGGAAAAGGTTTACATGGTCAAGATCTACAAAAGATCAAGGAGAAAATGGATAAAAATAAAACCTGGCGATGACTTAAAACTGGCATGTTAAAAAAAGAAACTGAAGGCTTAATTTTGCTTGTTCAAGAGCAAGCTATTTGAACTAATCAGGACCAGAACTGAACAAAATCATCAAATGAATCAAAGTGCAAATTGTAGAAAGATGCAGAAGAAACAGTAGATCATATATTGAGCTCATGCAGGAAGATCACATAAACTGATTATAAACAACGGTGTAACACAGTCACAAAAATGAGTCCTGAAACATTTCTAAAAATTATCATGTGCTAGTAATGAAAAATTGGTTGGGATATATTGTTGGAAAAGTAGTTGAAAATGAGCAGGTTAAAATATTGTGGGTTTTCCAAATACAAACAGGTAAAGAAGAGAGTGTGGATAACTGAGATGGCAGTGCCAGTACCACTACTGTAGAACAGAAGAGAAAGAATTTGAGAAGACCACATATTATCAAGATCTGAAAATTAAAATTGAAATATTATGGTATAAACCGGCAATGGTGGTCCTAGTAACTTATGGTGTAATTTTTGTGGATCTGCACCAGTGGGGGTTTCAAAATTTTTTACTACCGGTTCTATGGGTGTGGCTTGGTAGGTATGGCATGGCTTGGTGGGCGTGGCTTGGTGGGCATAGCAGGGGAAGAATACTGTAAAATCCCCATTTCCTCCCAATCAGCTGGGACTTGGGAGGCAGAGAATAGATGGGGGCGGGGCCAGTCAGAATTTTCACTACCGGTTCTCCGAACTACTCAAAATTTCCACTACCGGTTCTCCAGAACTGGTCAGAACCTGCTGAAACCCACCTCTGATCTGCACATATACTACACTAACACACTATGATATCCTAGGTTCTTGGGAAGAAGTCAATGCGAATGAAGGTCAACACCAGCTAAAGAACTAACAGTGGTGACTTTACATTCTTGTGTATAATAATGATTTCCAAAGTCCTGTCATAGTAGCTTTTTTTGTACAATCACCACATCTCAAAGTGTATGCAAGATCCAAATGTCAAAATTTTCCAGATCAATTATACTTTCATGGCAGACTTAATTCTCTTGTTCTCATTCCCCCATCACCCTTAAAAAAAAAAAAAAAAGAGTAGCAAGGAATGTAGAAAATAAAGTTTGCTAAGTTGAAGCAGACTTGGCACTCTGGCTGGTCCAAATGTGAGATTTGGATCAGAGCGGGAAAAAATTGAAAGGCTATATGCCACCAGATGGAAAGAGAAGATGAAATCTGTTCACTACCACCACTCTTCACACACCCTCCCAATACTATCCAGTTCCTGTTCTGTACAATTTCTCTTTCATTTTCCATCTCTCTGCATTTAAGAAAAACACACCGTGAATGAAGTTGAAGAAGGACATTTTTCAGGGGGTTTTTTTCTGCTGAACTTGCAAAAAAAATAATAATACAACGTGCATGTAGAAAATGATTGCTGGACCCAGCTACTATATACCTTATTTCTTTCATTGTTAAATTGCAATAACACCTTTCTGTGCATGGCAATATTATATTATGAGAGATCAGTAGCCTAGTAAGACTTAGTTTAGCTAAGATTGCTTAAAGGACCATGAAAATTTAGGAATGAGAAATCATAGTGAGGACCCAGATTGTTGGGGGCAATATGCTGACTCTGTAAACCGCTTAGAGAGGGCTGCAAAGCACTATGAAGCGGTATATAAGTCTATTGCTATAGTTCTGAGAATCAGAATAGAGCTGAAAGGGATCTTGGAGATCTTCTAGTCCAGCCCCCGCTCAAGCAGGAGATCCTACTACAATTCTAAAATTCTTGAGAAAGAAGTAGAATGTATCATCCAGGTAATTCCAGAATTGCAAGCAACCTCTTTTCTCTAAACTCTTCCTAATTCCAAAGCAATAAGGAGTTCATTCTGTCCAGAGTTGAGAAGCTGCCCGGTAGGAAAAAGCCACTGCTTCAATAAAGGACATTGAATAGATTCAATATCAGATTTCTCTTTCCAGCTGTCTACCGGTCCCCTTAGTACCACTTGCTATTATCAGGACCTTCCACGCCTGCCCTCTTTCTATAATTAGGATAGCAGCTATGGTTAATCTGGGCCATTTTTCAAAACCAGATTTCCTCAACAGCAGTAGCCGTCAATCAGCAGTTTGAATGGCTCGCATTCTTTCAAGACATGTTGGAATCAAGTACATTTGAAGTCCCTGGAGTTGCATCTTCCCAAAGATACGTTACAGAAATAAACATTTTCTTACCTTCGGCGTAGCCCTTTCCTCTGCTGCTTGGCTTCCTTCTGACGGACCAGTAATCCATTTGCCTACCAATCGGTCCCTTTGTCCGCTTCCTTGACCATGAAATAAAGCATCTTTGTCTGTAACATTGGTTAACCCCAAGGTGGTCTTTCCTTGTCTGTGAAGCGATGTGGCTGAACCTAGATGATTTGCTTCCCTCTGAATTGTATGAAGTTTGGAGTTGTGAAGCGGTTTAGGGGGTAGCGCCTTTAAAGGATCTTCTGAAGAATGGGGCAGACCGGACTTCCCTCGCATTGTTTTCTTTCCCACCTGAATTATTCGCTGAGACTTGATTTCCCCTGAGAAGTTTTTGCATTCTGCTGTATCTTGCTTGCCTGCCGTTGCTGAAGAAACATCTAAGCGCCGTGAAGGCGATTTCATTGCTGAAGTCCCATTTTCTGTGCCTTGTGGTCTGAGAGCAGAAACATGACAACTTGAGCAACTGTTGCTATGATTTTCTTCTCCTGTTCTGGAGTAGTTATTTTTGATCACCGGTTGTTTCTGTTTTTCTTTGGTTTTCATACTGGGATTCATACTCTGCTGTTGTCCAACGGTAAGAGTCATTCCTGTTTGCAAAGTTGATGGTCTGTACGCTGTCAAGTTGCTCCTGACAGCTACCTCTTTGGACTTTGACGGATGACTTCTGAAGCCAATGGTGGTCTCCATAGGCATAGTGTCATCTGATACTTGAAACAGGCGAGGCATTTCACTGAGGAAGTACGAACATCCATCACAATCGGTACTCGGAATTAGCTCATCTTCCTCGTCATCACTTTCCAACAGAAACTTCAGCTTTGCTTCCCAGTCCTCATAGATCTCCTCCGTCATCACATCAGAACATTCAGTATCTTCAAGAAAATCATTCTGAAAAATCTCAGTGGCTTCAATAAAGTTTCCATCCAGGTGAAGCTCAATGCCACTATCCACCGTAAAAGTGGAATTCTCTGCTAAGTAGAACTTATCTTCTAGAGGAACCCTTGTGTGACTCTCAGACAGTATGTCCTTTTTCAGAACTTTGCTGAGGCTACCCTTTTCACATGTCTTGGCATATTCGGTTGTTTGACAAGCAGTTAAGACTTTAGCATTAAAGCAACAGCTGTCCGTGCGCTCAGAAATTTGACTTGCTAGTGTGGAATCTACTTGTGAGCTGTCAAATCCATCTACCTTGCCTTCAATAGAATTCCAACATTCTTCAACACCATCATAAATAAAAAGACCAGAGACACTTTGGGTTGTGCTCGGAATAAAACTGTCATTTCTCTTCAGAGAAGGTACATTGTTAATTTCCATTTTTTTTTCCTTCAAGCAATTAGTGTTTTTATAATGATTTTCTATTGTAGGAAAAGTGTCACGTTTACAGAAGACTGTTGTTCCTATGATTTTCTTCATTCATAGTCCAACGGATTCTGGTTCTGGAAAATTTAATCAGAAGAATCATGGGTTAGTCACAAGCGTTTTGTAAGAGCTAAAGCTTTTATATTTTTTTCATCTTTATTTCATTTTCTATATGATGACTATCGCCAAGCTAGACTTGATATTTTTCAGAATCTCTTGAAGTCAGTTTAAGAAAGCTGAAGAACCGTTTTTTCTAGCCAGCTTGATGCTTGCATACCTCTAGATTTTAAAACACATAGAACATTAAATGTTAATTCCCCCCGGAAATACGTAAGATCTCCAACCTCCGGGTGTTTCGTTGCGCATTGAAGACCCTGTTGTTCCGCCAGGCCGGGCTATCAACATAATAATTTTAATTGGGGTATTTTAAATTTTTGGGGTTTTAATCCGGCCAAATTTATTTAATTATTTTAATTTTTAATCATTGTTGTGTCTTGTGTTTTTAAATTGGCTGTACACCACCCTGAGTCCTTCGGGAGAAGGGCGGTATAGAAATAAAATTATTTATTTATTTATCTTTACTATTAGATTTATAGGCCCTCCAATTCCATCCATGTAATAGTAATATCAAACACTTAATATACATTCATTTAACAGAGGCATATTTTAATGTAGGACTGAAGTGTTCCAAATTAGAAGCATCTTTGACTATCAAATGACAAAAATTCAACCATTTAATATAAGACAGTACTCTGAGATCTAGAATCTAAACTATGACGTAAATCGAATACTAAAGGAGCGAGAATGAATCAAGTAAGCAGGATGTTCTTTAGAGCAGAGATAACTCCATGATTACCAGAGCAGAATTTTCATGTGGTTATAAAAGTTAAAACCAGGCCTGGTGAATCTTTCCAAAGGCTTAGTCCAGTATTTTGTTTCATAGGGCAGCTGACCAAACATCTCTGGACAACTCACAAGCAGGAGATAGATAGAGACATACCCAGAGATGGGCTTCAAAAATTTTAGCAAGGGGTTCTCTGCCCAGTTGCTGGGTGGGCGTGGCCATGGTGGGCGTGGCCTAGTCAGCTTCCTGCACCATGGCAGAGGGGGCATTTTTGCCCTCCCCGGACAGTGGAGATTTTCCTGGAGCCTCTGCGAGAGCGAAAACGGCCTCCCCAGGCTCTGGAGGCCCCCTTCAGGCTTTCTCCAGGCCCATTTCTGGCCTTCCCAAACTTCCAGTAGGCCCATTTTTCGCCCTCCCCGAGCCTCTGCATGCGCCCTGCACTTACCTGCATCCAAAATGGGCCATGTGGGGACTCCTGGGAGGGGAGGGGAGGGGTGGGTGGGGTCAGCCAGAAGTGGGATTTGTGGGTTCTCCGAACTGCACAGAATCTTAGCTAGAGGTTCTCCCGAATCCCTGAGAACCCCCAGCAGCCCATCCCTGGACATACCCCTCTTCTGCCATGGTTGCCCTGGGGCTGCTATTTGAAGGCCAGTTTTCTCCAACACAGGAGTAACATTGCATCTTTAAGACCGATAGTCCTCAATGGATCTGCCCTCTATTAATTTGTCCAATCTCCTTTATCATGCCATTACCACGTCTTGTGAGAATCAATTCCCAAGCCCAATCATGCTCTCTATGAAGATGGATTTGTTCGTTAGTTAAGCCAAATGCCACCTTGGATCACCTGGAACTATTAAACTGATTCGGTCAGAAGCAAAGAAATTAGCAGGTTCAAATGGTCTGAGGTCTCACCTCTTTGGCAATGTAAACGAATGGGGAAAATAATATAAAAATCAGGGGTGCTATTCAGCAGGTTCTAACAGGTTCTGGAAAACTGGTAGCAGAAATTTTGAGTAGTTTGGCGAACTGGCAAATACCACCTCTGGCTGGTCCCAGAGTGGGATGGGATTGGAGATTTTGCAATATCCTTGCCCTGAAGTGGGGTGGGAATGAGTATTTTGCAGTATCCTTCGCCTGGAGTGGGATGGGAATGGAGATTTTGCAGTATCCTTCCCCTGGAGTTGGGTGGGATTGGAGATTTTGCAATATCCTTCCCCTAGAGTGGGGTGGGAATGAGTATTTTCCAGTATCCTTCCCTTGGAGTGGGGTGGGAATGGAGATTTTGCAATATCCTTCCCCTGCCATGCCCACCAAGCCACACCATGCCCACCAAGCCACGCCCACAGAACCGGTAGTAAAAAAAATTGAATTCCACCACTGATGAAAATACTTCAGAAAACTTCTACTTGTAAATTGCCCTTCATTCAGCTACTTCGCAGTAGTTTTTCAATGCAATTGCCCAGTTCTAGACCAGTTAATCATGCTTAATTGAGCCAATCTTGTCCCATAGATTTTAATGATACTTAAAAATCCTTACCCGTATATTTTTGTTTGGTGTTAATCTAACCCTTTACTTGTAATCCCTAGCAATCACATCACTGTAAGAAGAAGGGTTTTGCTTCTGTAAATCATTTTCTCAAATGTTTTGGCTATTCTTTTCCAAATGTAAATCTTTTCTCTTATTTTCAGGTTTTCCTTTTAGAAAAGAGGGAACTATTGAGATTATAAATGTATCTCAGCCACATCTTCTGGGTACAAACAGCTTGTCTGTCCCCATGGTGAAATAACAAGTACCATTGAAAAGAAGTACTTGTCTAAAAAAAAAAACAGGGAAAAAAAAAGAATTACAGGACAGTGACAGCATACAACGCATCGCACATCACCACAATTTGACACAAAGATTTTAACCTCCACCTCCCCCCCTTTTTTTTTCAGGCCAACAAATTCTAGTTAAACACATCTAGAGTTTGCAAAAAAACTTATTTTCAATTGAACCTTAAATTAAGTCTGTATAAGAGTAACTATACAGGGGGAGACACGTTATCAGTCTTCAGATAACTGTATAAAAATTTATAAACTTTATTAATACAGATAAAGAAAAAACACAGTAAACACAAATGACAAAAACAAAACAAAAAACAAAATATGCATTATACAATAAACAGTTATAAGTAGTCTTCAGATAACTGAATGGGAAGAATAAAGTTATGGAAAAGCTCCTGAGGATAGAATAATAGGTGAAAGCTTTACTAAGGGAGATCCAAATAAGGAGAATTTCCTGACTGTAAGCTATTAAACTGTGGAATGATCTGCTTCCTGGAGTCATGGATGTTCTGTCTCTGGAAATTTTCAAGCCAATGTTGGACAGCCATTTGACTGGGATGATAAGAGGATTTCTCCTTGGGCTGGAGACTGGCCTAGAAGTAGAGGTGATATTCAGCCGGTTCGGACTGATTCAGGCGAACCGGTAATAGCAACTCACATGCTCACATTTTTTGTGCTGGGCAAACCAGTAGGTAAAGTATGCAAATCCCACCTCTGACTAGAAGACTTCCAAGGTTTCTTTCAACCCTATGTTCTAGGGAGGATTACTTCAGAATAAACCTTCATAGGATCATATTGTCAAGGATTGGTGTTTTATAGACAAGTTTCCAGTTTTAGGTTCCATTTCTTAGAAATGCTCAAAAAAACGAAGAAAGTTGCAATAAGATACTTAGGTCATAAAACTGATTATCTCCTTGAATTTCATATATGGAAATATCTTCCTGTTTTGTTTTGTTTTTTACTGATCTCTTGCTTAGTCTTAAATCAAGTTATCTGTGGTTTCAGTTTCAGCCTGGGAACATGAGAAAAGAGAAAAACTGCTTTTCCATATTTACAGGGAAATATTTTTAAACATTAGCTTCTTCCTGAGCAGCAACACAATTCAATTCAAGTTTTATTACCTGAGAATATCAGAGAATGGGTTTTATATTCAGGCTGTCTTCAGCTGGAAATAAAGAACAGGAAATGATCAGAGCAGTTGCAAATCTACATATTCCATTATGAATAAATCTGGGACATTCAATGTATGTTTGAATAATCACCGTCAATCCATAGATATGGGAAACATTCACAAGTTATGCTGACCTATATTCAGTAGTAAGCATGCTAAGAGTCATATTTATGGTGTATTTCACAGATGATATGACATTTATAGAGAATAAGGAAGTTTATATTGATGGGGATATGCAGAAACTACACATTGACTTTGTTTAACAACCACTATTGGTTGTTAAACAATCTAAAAATAAAACGAAAGGAGAAATGTTTCCCCTTTTGCATTTGAGCATGCAAGAAAGGACAGGAAAGGAGAAAGGATAAGAAGAAAGACAAAGAAAAAGAAGGAAAGATGGGAAGAGAGCAAGGAAGGAAAAAGAAGGAAAGGGCGGACGGAAGAAGAAATTAGAATGAAGAGGGAAGGAAAAAGAAGAGAAGGAAGGAAGGAAGGAAGGAAGGAAGGAAGGTAGGTTATAATGAGAGTGAGGGAGGGTCTCAGGGAAGACCTGCCTAAGCACGTGGCCACCACAGGTGCCCCCAACATGAGTCCCATGTCACACCCTCCATGCCACGCTCCCCCAGGCCCTCCAAGGTCAAACACAACCCTGATGCGGCGCTCAATGAAATTGAGTTTGACATCCCTGTTCTAACCTCATATGGCTGTATTGGAAGCTGTTCCTG